TAAACACACCATTTAAAGCGCCTGAATATTAGTTATCATTTATAAAGTATTTTCCGAGTTTTCTTTGTCTCTTTTTGGTGCTGCTACTTTTTATTCATTTGTGCCTATTTATGTTAGTGCAGTGACAGTCTACCAGATGTTGTTTTACCTAACTATGATGACAATATAAGTATTCTGATTTATCGATGCATAATTACATTTCCTGTTGATTCATAACTCCAAAGTGACATTGATTTTGTCATTTAATCTTAGATAAACAAACTGATATTGTAAGTATTATAGATCCTGTTCATTCATATGCATACATGACTTACTGACTGCTGGGTATCAAATAAGACATTATATCAGGCTTTTCATTAGTCTATCCAAATCTATACATCCAATATCAGCTGCCTTTCTTAAACATTATATTAGTAAAGCTACCGAGAGCTATAAACTCCTTTATACATCCACATTAAATGTAACTTTATCAACTCCAACGGCCACAACACTAAGAGAGATCTGATCAGAAACACTGAGTGATATGTCGCCAAATTCCTTAAGTGACGTTCTAATACACCGAGCACTCAGTGTATTCAGCATTCTCAGTTCTTCTGTGCAGTCGGACTGTTATGATCCCACAGGAAGAGGAAAGCAGAATGGATGGGGCGGTGCAGTGAAGCAGCAAATTAAAACACACTGAGACCTTGACAGCCTTTATATTTACTGGCTGTAGGGAAACGTCTGCTTCAGTGAATACGCTGTCCAATCCACGTGGCTCGGGGCTTTGAGACGTATCGCATGCATGATGACGTGTCAATAGATATCTCTGCTGGTAACCTGACTTTTTCAAAATCAGAACCTATGGCTGTTGGGCTCAGAAGAAAGATGAATACTAATGTTGTGACGGGTCTGCGGTGTTTCCAATCATGCCTTCACCACGAGTCACTTTATAGATGCACTGCAGCACATCTCCTCTAAACTATGTTCTGCTTTGGATGCAGAGAGCATTACAGAATGGGGTAGGTGTTGGGGATACTAATAAAGGAAAAGTATTGTTTGCGAGTGAAAGAAAAGCTTTCTTTTAGGCTGGCGTCACACTGTCCCGAAATTACCACCAAATGGACACACGAATATGGAACTGTGAATTTCGCACGAAGATGGCCCCGAACTTGGTCAACAGCCGAGCAACAGCCGAAGCAAGTACGATGCCTACAGAAGGCCACACGATGGCACCCGAACCACACACTCCGTCACGGTGTTTCCATAGCAACAACAACTTTCTGTCAACAGCGTAAACTCACCTTCAAAATAAAAGCATCTAAATAAAACAGGAAGTTAACCTAAATTACATTTAAGACATACAACTGCAACGAAAGTAACAAAACCAATGTAATATCCTTTTCAGTTTCACAGAACTATAATACGATGGCTACACGACGGCTTCACGTAGTCGTGTTGCCTTCCTAAGACAATCGGGCAGATTCTTGTTTCCTTCGTATTGTCTTCGTGAGGCGAAAAATGGGTGATGGCGCCGATGATCACACGAAGATGACACGATTTGACAAGATGTCCTCACGATGGCCTTACGAAGGGCAAAATGGACACACGAATTCAACACGAAAATGAACCTTCGCAAGGTCTTTCGGCAATTTTTTGGCATGCCAAAGATTTTGCCACCGCTCACGAAGTTGCTGCCGGAGCCTGAGAAACTCCACCGGCGGTCATACGATGGCTTAAGATGCCCTCGCGAATGGCCCGATGTTACGATCAGAGCCGAATTTGAACATTTCCTTTATCGTGTGTCCATCTGGTGTCAATTTCGGGACAGTGTGACGCGAGCTTTACCAAACTACTGATCTGCCAGAAATGCCTAAATGCAATTAAACTCATTTCTAGCTTCTGTTAAAAACCTGACCTGATCTAAGCTGAAGAACTAGCAAAAACTACACTTCCTGTAACTTCCTCACAACAAAGGCCATTAGCAGTAAAGTCCTACACACGGCTCTGTGCTTTACTGCCGCTGACATTTTTATCTCAGGAAATTAGCATTAAGCAGCTAAATTAATTGTGTAAGAACGGACAAAAAGGGGTCTGAAGTAGCAAGCTTGCTAAGTGACTTTAAAAGGTTTTGTTTTCTAAAAAGCGGTTGCTTGCTAATGGTCAACAGTGCAAATTCAAGTTCCCCAAAGTTGAACCGTCACATTAGTTAATGTCACCGTTGCCAGGAAATGCACAGCTGATTGCAACTCCATTTTAAATAACTGATTTGTTCTACTTTTTCACTGTTTTTTTTTAATTCTAGGAAAAGTCCATACTATTTTAAATGAGTCTCTCAGATTTAACCAAAATTAAGTAAGCGGTGTTTGAGCTATTGGATGAATGCCCATTTTGCAACATTGGCCACAAAAAAAGGACATGTAACAATCCCAAACTTCATTAAAAAGACACTTAGCGGTTTATCGTGCTAACAAACAAGGCGAGGATGACAGAGCAGCGGCTATTGAAAGATGACTCGCCACAAAAGTAGGGACAAAGTGGCCCCAAGTGTCATGGCAGCCAGTGGGGCAGATAAGCGCCTGCAATGAACTGTGCAGCTCCACAGACACACTCAGTCAGTCAGCACTGCCTAACAGAAGGAGCTGGAAATAAGAAACAAGAACTGGCAGATGGAAAACTCTCAGCTTTGTGGTTTTATATCCAGTCATTGTTGCCATCAAATCAGAGTTACAAGGTCCGACGTTTAAAAAGTTAGACAGAATCACTCTCTGTGAACCAGTCAATCCTAAAAAAATGCAGGTTCAATCGCAGGTCAAATATACATTTAAGAGTCTTACACATTTTGTCCTTAGTGATTTTAGTCTGTTTCATGTTTCTCGTCTTAAATATTTCTCTTTATTGATGTTCTTCTGACAATAAAGTATTATCGTATCATCTTAAATGATTACACTACAGGAAAGGAACGACTTGAGAGGAGAGAATATGAGAGCAGAGGGGGGGGGGGGGGGGGGGGGGGGCTGTTGTCCCCAGCAGCATGCTGACAGGACAGAGGAAAAACAAACAAGCCACCCGCTGAAACTGGTTTCACATCGTCAGCTTCTACGCTCACGAGCATTGTGGGTATTTCTGTGTCCACCGGATCAAACACCATCAATCACTTAAAGAATAGCGGGGTGCTAACAACGTCATTTACACATCCGGTGAAGAATGGATGAAGTGGAGGTGATGGATAACACATGACATCATTTCTTTCCATAAAAAATTCAAACATGACAACGATATAAAACACACTCCTGATCATTTTGACAAGCTTTCATAAATAAATAAAAGTCTTCACCCATTATTAACAGTAAGTATCTGAAAGAGTAAGATATTAAAAACAGAGAAGCCACATTACGTGTTGTAATGTTTGCAGATCAAATGGCTCCCAGGATGAAAGCAAATCACAGAGTTTACTTCCAGACTAAGCGAGACTGATTGTCTTGATTACCAAAACAAGCTCGACTACTCTGACCTTTTCCCCGGCCGTCTGAATGGCACACAGAGGGCCGAGGGAGGAAGGAACTGCATTGTGGGCCGAGCTGCTTTTAGAAAATGTACGCACTTTGAAATTGAATACACTCACTTTTAGATAACCTTTAACAACATGCCGAGTCAGTGATTACGTCATTGTGTTCAATCAGCACTTGGAAAAGTAAAGATGACAATGTCGATGTGAAACCAACTTGCTGTAATAAGTTCACGAACTTAAATCAAGAGTAATGTGAAAAGAAAATGTAAAGAAAGTCAATTTTAGAGGTCCCCCAAGAATATGCGCGTTTCTCAGAAAGTGTATTTATTTAGTATAATCTTCCCTATTGTCTGCTATAACTTTACAAACATTTGTATTGAATACTGGAGCTGCAAAACAGTTTAAGGTTCACATTTTAAGTGTGGCTATATTGTAGTTATAGAAATAGGAAAATTATAATGGAAATGAATGTAAAAAAAATGCACTTTGAATGTTGGGGGGGGCGTATTTATTACGTATTCTAGTAAAAGTTCCACAAACTGTCAAAGCACTATACATGTGTGACTTGATTGTAACTAATCAAACAGGTCTGCACCCGGCGGTAGCACCACACAGACCTGGTTTCTATGTTCTCTCCGGCTTTCGTTCAGCAGCAGACCGAGCTAATGATTTCAGGAACAGACGCCCCGCTGACCGGGCTCACATGAATCAGCTGCCTCCTCTCGCTGAGGCTTTCTGACGGAGCTGAGCTGCCTCTGTCTGCACCTCAGTAGCTTTAGGCCAGCAGTGACAGATCAACATCAAACTGTTCTACAACACGTTGTCATTTAGGTCAGGAGGTCAGATCGCCTTAACATGAGAGAAATAAGTCAAACCAACTGCAGAAAGAAACATCGCTGCAATATTCAAATGGCGCCAATACAGACAACTGCTGTAGCTTTAATGGAACGCTTAGCAATCCCTTTTAGTTCAGGTTTATTTTCATTGGCTAAGCTGCAAATGATCTCCGCTGCTTAATCGTGGATGCCACTTTATTGATTGCCATAATTGTTTGTATATTGAGGGGGTTTGACAGGAGGTGTTGGTAACCGAAACTCGGTTTTCAATAAGAAGCCAATCCACAATCCCAGGAGCCGGGTACCCACAAATGAATGAAGTGTAAAAATAGTAATCTTATTTCTGATTTGTTGAAATTCAAACGAAACACAACCCTAATTTAGAGTACTGTACAATTATAAAACAGCGGTCTGCAACATTGACAATGGTCAGAAATCGTAGAAATGGCTGCAAACAGCTCTATTGCGTTATATGTGTCCCAGACTTTGAAGCCTGTGGTTTTTTTTGTGTGTTGCTGAGTAACTATAAAAAGCGATTGGCTGAGAAACCTTAGCTTACAGGATCTGGATCGGTCCCCAGATTTTGAACCGGGTCCTGGAGCCAAAATGAGTGTCAACCCAAGCTTTGCATGTATAAAAACAAGCACAAACAATTTCTTTAAATGTGACTTTACCTGGAGGAGCTCGGTGGAGCTGCTGCTGAGCTCGTCTCCTGACTCCGAGTCGTTGGTGCGCCTCTCCTCCCCCGCAGAGTCCGTCCTGCGGTCCACGTCCAGCGGGGATCGCTCCATGTCCGGGGATCGGGCTCTGGTTCGGGGCAGAGTGCTGGACTTTTCTCTCTGAGCGGGGAGGTGGGCTCCACCGTGGTGAAGGATGTCCGCCAGAGCTCGGTCGTGGTCGGTGGGGGTGGTGGGGGGGTCGTGATGGTTGCTACTGTTCTTGCGCTGGGTGGGCGGGCTGAAGTTCCCAGAAGAGGCGGTGTGTGCAGAGGGGGAGCGCCGGTAGTTGGACTCGTGTCTGTGGAGGATGTCCGCAGGTCCCAGCTCCAGACTGATAGGCTTCACCCACAGTACACCCCCGCTTTGTGGAGTTGGGTTTCCAGGGGCAGCAACAGGAAGAGGAAGGGTTTTGGGAGGGGGCATGAGAGCTTTACGCACTTCACGGACATACTGAGCGGGTACGTAGAAAGGTTTAGTCCCTTCCTCCTTCCTCACCTGCCACCAGTCCTCGTTGCTTTTCTTGACCAACATGAAGCATTCCCCCTGGTGGATGGTGATGAGGCGGTCCTTGGACTTGTATTCATAGTCGTACTCCACCTCGATGTAGACCTCGCCCGGGGCAATAGGCAGCTCCGCCATGACGCCTCCGACTGTCCGCCAGGCAGCTCACCGCGAGAGGAACACTTTGATTAGCATGGCTTCCTGAGCAGAGCTGGAGGGAGAACAAGGACTAAAGTAAGTGTCTGACACATATATCACATAAATCCATTTGCTATTTTATGTTCCACAATCAATTAAATCAATACCTGGCCTTGAAATATGCTTCTTGGGGGTAACGGAGGTGTATCATATAGTGTTAAAGCCCTTCAGGACATTTGATATACATTTATTATAGTAATACACACTTTACTAAGAAATCCTTCTACACAAAAAGACAGTTGTTCGTTTGTAAGTTCTAGCAGCAAACGTTAGGAATTTGTTTTGAACAAAAAAAGAAGATTTGGGGGGTAACAGTTGGGAAATGGTGCTTAAATAATGTTGAAGCATTCATTTTCCCTCAGAAAGGGGGTAATAAATAATACCTGAACTCCTTGCTGAATATTCTCCCCCGCCTCTCTCTCTCTCTTTTCAGTCTATTTTCAGTAGTACTACATCATATTAACAAAAATCTTTACAAAAGTAAATAACAATCTTAGAGTTTATCTCCATTAGTCTTTGAAATATATTTATAAAATCTGAAAATATGTGTTTGAAAGCACTTTTCCACCGAATATGAACAAATGAATCAAACTCAAATCGATTAGTCTTTGTATCTATGTCTCTGTCCTTCGCTTTCCTTGACAACCGTTCATCCGATTGTCTTCACACTTGGCGGGAGTATAACTGACAACACAAGGAAGTGACGAGTGTGAAGTTATTTGGATGAGCGGTTCTTGCACTTTAAACCGGTGGAAAGGAGCTTCAGAGTGGCACATACTGTCAGACACAAAGAGGGGACATGGTGTTCTTTTACCACTATAACCCTTGTTTTCTGTCCGTCTCTGTCTCCGTCTCCGTCCCTCTGTCTGATAATGACAGCCAGTAAAACAAACCTGAGGCATGTTGCAGCCGAGTCACACAAATAGTTTTCTGCTGAAGTCACATGTGCACACACTCTCTATTACAACACGAGGCGCGGCTCCAGCACACCTTGAGCAAACTGAGCTCTAAAGAGTCTGTTTCTAAAGTTATTTAAAAAATGCTAATAACTCAACTGACGGTGACAACAAGAAGAAGGCAAAGGAGCTGAACCTTAGTTTAAAAAATACACATCTTACCTGTAGTGGAGGGCAAATACAAACTAAAACAAAGGCCACGACAAAACCAATAACACTACACAACTTACAAAGACATCAGATTGCTGCAAACAACACAGCCTGCCGACGTGTAAACGTGAATCTTGAAGTTGTTTGTGGTTTAGACTGACTGGCAGGGGGGGGGCAGGGGGGGGGTGACACATTATTAAAGCTTTCAGGAAGAATACTTTTATATTTACCTATTGAGTTTCAAATGTAAGCGTCATTACTTCATTCTCATTCAACAGCCTAGAGCAGGGGGGTCAAATTCATTTTCATCACGGGCCACATCAGCATTATGGTTGCACTCAAAGGGCCGGTTGTAACTTTAAGACTATATAAAAATACATATATATAAATATTTAATGTATATAAAATAATGTATTATATGACATTATTGCCATCAGATAGGGTAATAACTTCATAATTAACTACGTCTGAAAGCAGAAGTCTAGGGCAAATAATGGCAAGTCTCTTCAGTGCGCATGGCACAAAATGATTTAAAAAGAAAAGCCCAATTCTGGAAAAAAAGTCAAATTCTGAGAAAAAAAGTCAAATTTGAAATGCATTATGGGACATGTAGTTTATGGGCAACGTGCTTCTGTAAAGTAGCCTGTAACCGTATAATAAACGTATTAAATTCTTTGCAAGTTCTTGTGGGCCACATAAAATGAAGTCACGGGCCGGATTTGGCCCCCGGGCCGCGAGTTTGACACCCCTGGCCTAGAGTAAAAGAGGCTGTACTGGGAACCCTTTGGTCTTCTTAAAAGTTCCTCTAATCTTTTTGTATGACCGTAAACTGTGGAGTTGACTGCCTCTGATTATTAGAATAGCTCTCTCTGTATACAGATCTGTTTTTTAATGTTAAAGTCCTATCATTGCTTTTTAAATGTGTTTGTGTTTCATTTATTGTTTTCTTATTAATGGGTTTTATTGTAATTTTTTGTAATTTTTTGTCCAACAAAACAACATTGATTTGTTGATTCTAATTGAAGCACTTTGGGCTCTTTGTTTGATTAAAGAGTTTGTATAAAAGTCAACTTAGTTGTGTTGAGTTCATTTCCTAAGCTTTTTAAAACTAAATAAAGTTCCCAAGACGTGTGCCCCCAGCTGAGCTCCAGCAGACATTATGTAATCTGCATTAAGTGGCAGGATATTACTGTAGGATATTACAGCTTCAGTAGCAGTTAATGCAGGATATTATAAGCACATTCATAGTAGGGCTGAACGATTAATCGCATATTCAGGTATGAATATGAGAATATGAGTTATGAATATATATATATATATATTTTATTTTTTTTGGGAGGGGTGCCTAAGTTGATTACATATGATCAAATGGAATAATTCAATGTATACGACAGTGCCATAGCTAAGTGTGTTAGGTCTAAAGGTGTGTTTTGCTCCGCTCACCGGTCCCTCACAGCGGGCAGAGCTGCAGGTGCTGATCTCTCTCTCTCGCGTCCGGTTATACTTCACTCGCGTTTATGTCCAAATCCATCAGATCTAGCTTGTTCTTGCTAATGATGGCTGCTGCCCCTCCCTACACGCAGATCACGCAGACTCAAACCTCATCTTATGCCCAAATTCCAGCTGAGAGGGTCTTCTCTACAGCTGGCCTGATTGTGAATCGCCTCCGCACCCGCCTCTCCGCTGAGCATGTAGACATGCTCATATTCATTCTTGTTTATATTAAACAAGAATGAGTATTGAATAGCTGCATTCTGTGCATAGGCCCTGTTACAGGTCGTTGATCTCTGTTGTGATAGGGTTACGTTACCCTAACCCGTTATGTTGTTCGTGTATGATCCCTCTTTAATTTAAAAACCAAGTTATGTTTTAAGCATGAAAGCTGTAGGCCTATAGCTGTCAACTGTTCAAACTGTGATCACCAGTTCAATACATTTGACAAATTCGACTTGGTTTCTATATTTATTTGAACATGTATTTATTTATTTTTTTTTTTTTTGTAAAAATGTTTCCCACATTTTTTTTTTTTTTTTATAGGATATGTACATTTCGGTTAATCGGTTAACCGTTTTTTTGAGGGTCGAATATTCGAATATACATTTGCTTTCAAATTCCCATCCCTAATTCATCAGTAAGTTACATCCAGGAAATACTTTGCCTTAAACACTGAGAATAGGATTTGAATGGACGATCAAGGCAAGACGTCTCTTTCAGCTTCTTATATTTATGATGCAGACACAGAGCAAGCAGCCCAACCCCACAACAACAAATACCTTTCATTGCCAATGATGGAGATTATTGATAGAACATTAAGTTACCATTCAATTTTGATCCAGGATTGATCCATAATGAGCATGTAAAACATTATCTAAATCCTACAAGCGAGATGAGCTACGCCCTTTTATAGCACATTCCTTTAAAGTCAGTAAACTAAGGGTTTGGCAGCCATTCTGTAATATTGCTATGTGGCATCTCTCTTGTGCGATAGCTTATTTAGAGGTATGTGATCAGGTGTGATTAAACCAACAGCGCCTGGATTACGGCGATACGGTGACGGATGATATCATCTGGGATTACCTCGCTGGCTAACACACACTGAGGGAAATCACACAGATCCATCGGCTAAACAGAGTGTCTATTAGCCAAATGAGACAACACACAGCCTCTGATGCCCATAGGTCACAGTCAGCACACACCATAGATAACTGAAGCATTGGTTGATACGTGAATTAGCTTTTTCATTAAAGTGTTGCTGGAAAAAAGACAGCGCTCTTGTGTTTGATCTGATCCTTGTGTTGAAGACAGGGCCAAGATTGGGAAATGTGCCAGCTTTCTAATTAATAAGTCTTATTTACTAAACATTTTCACAAAAAACAACATGTATCATTTAAAAATGATCAGGATTAGTATTTCAGTTTTCATCGAGCCTTCCCTCACAGTAGATTAAGTATAAACAGTAGATTTGATCTGTGCACATTCCTGCACTTAAAGCTCCATTTCACAACATGTCACAGTGTTGCATTTCATATAAAAACTCTGTGGTTTGTCCAGAGTCAGTTTCTTAAAGGTCACCTATTATGCTAAATCCACTTGTTCCTGTCTTTTCTACATCAACATGTGTCCCCTCTGTGTAAAGAGATTCTGAAAGTTTCAGGAAAAAAGATTCTCTCGCTTTTTGTCCTGATCCATTTTTATAAAAACCTGTCTGAAAATGACTATTTATATTTTGTTGCACGGTTGAAAATGTTTCGTATCTTGTATTTTGAGGTGATACTGTGACATGTAATTTTTTTTTTTTTTAAACGGTTTTAATTAGGTCAACTGAAATATGCGTCATATCCTGCTACGGTCCTGCACCAGCGCCTTTTCTTGCAGGCGAATAACCTGACCCCCGGCTCGATGAGCGAACTATGGATACATCAAAGAAAATAAAAGTATCTGAGGAACACAGAGGGTTTAATTCTGCGAGAACAGAGTTATCTGCTTTCACAGCAAACAATGCTGGCTCACCGGTATGTTTGATATGTAGAGAGAAGTTGTCAAAGGTGCTGCAGCCTTTACGTATGGAGGAGAAACACGGAAGAGGAAGACAGCTGACGATCTCCAGTCATAATTCAATCAGTTAACTCCTTCTAGGGTGCAGCTATATGTTTTATTTATTTCAAAGTGGGCCCATTTTAATTATTTATTTTCTTCAAATGTGCAGAGGACTCCCCAAGTGCTGTGTTGATTTATTTTAAAGTAGGCCTGTGTATTTTTTTTAATTCTCCTTATAAGAGTTCTTTGTTTCTTATTAGAGGTAAACAGTTTTATATAATCTAATAAATAATAAATGCAAAGAAACTGTAGTTTTTGTCTATGATGTAACAATATATACAACTTTATAAGATATCAAGCTATCAAATATGTTTTGCGGCTCTAGACAAAAATAATTGGTGGAAAAGGGGGCAAAATGGCTCTTTAGGTCAAAAAGGTTGCAGACCCCTGAACCAAGGACTGTTTAAATGCATGTTAAATGCCCAGGATTCGGCGCCACTCGATGACGTAGTATACTTGAAATAGTGGCTCTGGAGCCGCTTTACTCGACATTGAGAAATGGCCAGAGAATCAGCACTTTTGAAACAGGGCTGAACCAGAGGGGATTATGGGATGCTGCAATGATGTGTTTGGTATTTGGAGTCAAACACTTCAGAGACATGTTTTGTATATATCTGAGACCTATTATATATTGATGAAAAACAGTATAATAGGGGACCTTTAAGTTGTGACACATCCTGTCTTTCACCAGTTCTGGGAATAATAACTAAAAGCAAATTGAGGGATTACCTTCTCTACCCTGCTTAACAGAAACTATGACATTCTTTAGCGAGTTCATTCAGGAAGTATTGCTTCTCTCTTGATTGTCTGGGAAGTTAAATCTCTGCGGAAGATAGACAAAAGTTAATTTCCTGCTGTCCTTTGCAACATTGCCCTGGTTGTTTGCTTTTCACTAATTCACTCCTCGTCAATATCCTGCCAGAGTTCTTAGGTTCATCACAAACCCGTCTGACAGCTGTTGGTTCAAATAGTCACGAGACGGAAAAACCAAACATCATCTCACATAATGTACTGCATCTGAAACCAGTTGTATTACCGCTGTGATAGCACGTCTTTCACTCGTAACAGCTCACATGTAAATGTATAAGATACATGCAGATATATGTCAGATCCATGTATCATGATTAAAGGTGGGGTAGGTAAGTTTGAGAAACCGGCTCGAGATACACTTTTTGTTATATTCCATGGAATGCTCTTAACATCCCGATAGCAATGAATATCTTAAGTGCTTTGACAAAAAATCCATAAAAAAATGTCATCTGTGGAAGCTGTAATACTGTAAAAAGCACGACCAATCATTTTAGCCGGCCCGGCTAAAATAACTGGATGGCCTACCTGCCTGTCAGCCTTCCATCTGTGCACAAACTTATCTCGTGCCCTCATTGGTCATGTGCGCGTTTGTGTGTGTTGGAGGAGGGGCTCTGTAAGGAAGTGGCAGATTGTTTCCGGCTGTGTATTTTCAAATTCTTGCGCACTCGAGCTGGTTTCTCCAAAATTACCTACCCCACCTTTAAGTGAAAACTACTTTTTTTAGAGCTGAAACAAACATTTGATTACATTTTTTGTCAATCGACAGGAAAGTAGGGATACTGTTGTGATAAACGATTCATTGTTGAGTTAGTATTTCAAAGAGTTTAGCTTCCTGATTATAAAAGGTACAGTTTTTTGTTGTTGAATGCGACTATAAACTGATTTGTTTCGCTTTTGCTAGTCGTCCAACTATTTGAAGATTGGCATTTAGGAAATTCGGATTACATTTTTCATTATTTTCTAACATTTTATAGACCAAATGATTATTTTAACCTTTAAATGGCAAAACATTCTTGCCCCTTTCTTTCTCATCCGACAAATAGGTATCTTTCCAAATAACCTAGCATGTATAGAAATGAGTGATGCTGATTAAGAGGCAAGTCCACAAACAACTCACATATTGATTAGGCCTTTCTGGTTCATCTTATCATTAAAAAGGCATCTATAGGGTTAAGTGCCTGAAGGCAGTTGTCTCTTTCACTCATCCCCGTGTAGATTAAGCTCCAGCATCAGTACGGCTATTCAGTGGACAAATCTTCTCAGAGTCTAATCAGCTAAATCAGAGGAAGCACCTTCATTTGATGTGATGGTAATAAGATTAACATTAGTGCGCCGTGGGGTGGGTCCGAAGAATAAAACCATGCAGAGCTACAGGACACGATGGCAAGGCCTCAGCTGAAGAGAAGTGCATGTGGGTCTATTTGAATGTTACGTGGTGAAAGAAATGTGCCGTTGTCAGCACATGTAGGAAACACACCCTCCCATTTTCTCCCGCCCTCAGGAACAACAAAAAGGAGCACCTTGGGAATAGTTGTTCAACACTAAATGCCTAACATGTTTCCAGTGAAACACGGAGAGTCTTTCTTCATGCGTTCTCACATGACACTTGTTAGCCAGGTCCAGAGCCCGGCTGCCACTGATCACTCTGAGTGAGTTCTTTTCATCAGAGAGCACATTTCTCTCCCAGTTATTTAAAGAGAAGCGGAATGAGGTTATCAGGCTCACAAAGCTCAATTTGAATGCTCGTGTGTTGTCGTTACAGAACAGCCAAGATGTCAACGTTTTAGAAACACAGATATGATTCAACATTAGTTTATTCAGACAAACTGTTTTCTTTGGTACTCAAATAATCCCTCCAAAACTTTTGCAAATGAGATTTGTGTAACGTGTTTCTGATAGACGTGCTGCATTTAAGTTTCGCATATTAGCCCATTTTTCAATGCTTTGAGCAGCAACAGTGCCATTCTATTAGGGCTGCTCGATTATGGCAAAAATCATAATCTCGATTATTTGGGTCAATAATTGATATCACGATTATTAAAAACGATTATCCATTTACTCTGAAAACATCCATTTATTGAAAAAAAATGGAACAGTATGTTTTTAACAGTTGATTACCCTGAACTTTAAGTATAATTCAACTGAAAAACCAATAAAATAAATAATTTAAAAAAAATAATCGTTTTATTTCCATTACGTTGTTTTCGTAATCGTTGCAAGCCAAAATCGTAATTGCGATTAATTGAGCAGCCCTACATTCTATGCACACGATTTAAAAATATGGTTTTTATTTTAATATTATGGTTGGACTAAATCCTTAAAAATCGGAAACTGAAATCACAATTCCTAAAATCAGAAACTAGCAGAGCCTGTTAAGAACAGCACTGTGCCCTCCGCACGTAATCACACCACATATAGGTCGACTCTCCCCTAAACAGCCTACATTCAGCACAGGCTGCCCCAGTTACGCACCTCTCACCACCACTTTGCTCGAAACTCAACTCCCCGGGGTCTCGTGCAACTGTCAGTGACCACAATGTGCCATACTTTACCAACCACAGCCTGCTTAAAGTGGGAGAGAGGAGAGAAATGTGAAGATAAATAAAACACAAAAGGCGTGTTTAGTGACAGGTAGATTGCTCAATGAAGGAATGGGAGCAGGCTGTGGGAATCAACACTTGACACAAATCCAATTTAACATGGCATTACGTCGTTCCTTCGATACAGTAGTACACCCTCACACTTCCTTGGAAATATCAAAAGGTTTCATCATCATCATCCAGGCAGCAAAGATCATTTGATTTATGGTGTTCGTACTATTTGAGAATGTATCTGAAAGCTGCAATAAAAACTTGATTTAGCTTTGGATGACTTTACCTATTAGTCTTTCACAAAATAGCAATGAATGTCTATGAAAAGTATAGGAGAAGAACTTGAAATTGTTTTGAGGATCTATCTAACTAAAAGTCCAAAACCAAGAGTCTCAATTCAATGCAATGTACAAGAAGAGGGTTAGGGGTTAGAGTAACCCAACAACAAAGCAGTAAATCATTACATATAGGTCAACTGGGTAAGATTAAGACAATGCTCTGTTTAACCAGAAGGACATTCTTGAGGCAGAGTTACAAAAGATATAATAAAAATAATAGTTGTATAACATATATAACATTGACACCATGTTTTGCTACCAAAATCACAACACATCAGTGCATACAACAATCACAACACATCAGTGCATACAACACTAACAAGACCTACTATGATTTATAGACACATGTTCAAGCCATAAAGGGGCCAATCTGCATAATCAGTACTTTTACTTTTGGTACTTTAACTATATTTTGATGCTAATACTTTTACTTGAGTAACATTTTGAAAGCAGGACTTTTACTGTAACAGTATTCCTACACTCTGGTACTTTTACTCAAGCACTTTTCCCACCTCTGTTAGTAAACTTTACAGTTCCTGGTTATGGGAATACGTGATTGTACTAAAAAGTCTCACCTTTAACTAATAGTCATGTTTTATAAAGTTAACACAGAGTTGCAGCTCCTGTCTGTAATTATTTACAGAAGCTAATCTGTGGCTAACATTAGCTAGCTAATTAGCCTTCCTGCTAAACACTCCCAAACATTCGCACCTTAACATACCTTCTCTTCTGGGGCGGGACACTCCGTGGCGGAAGAAGAAACTCACTCCAAGGCTCCAGAGTGAGGTTAAAATCTGGTAAAGTTTCCCGGTGAAGTAGCGACGGAGCACCGTGTGAACCTGGCTCTTCACTTGTCAGTTTGTCAGTTTGTCTCTCCTGCTCTTCCCCTGGCCGGTGTAATCCACAGCAAGCGCGCCCCCGTCTCTCCTGCTCTTCCCTGGCCGGTGTAATCCACAGCATGCGCGCTCCCGCGGACTCAGCATGTCCGCAACAACTTTGGCAACTACCTTTAGGAAAAGATCGTCTATTGGAAGATGTATCACTACTATTGTTTTCAGTGGAGTTAGAAACAGGTTTATTACCAGGTAGGTTGACGATTTGACTTGATGTCGTGGTGCACTGCATACATACAAATAAAACAACAATTCAAAAACACAGATAGAGAACTATGTTGAGAACACTATAATAGCATTACAAAATATAGTAAAATAAAAAATAAAATAAAGCAGTATTTACATTGAAATAGAATGGAATAAAATATGTGCAGTAAAAAAAACAGATATTGTCATTGAACTAAGGTGATGAAAATATAATGAGAAATGTTAAAGAAATAATCACCATAATTCATTCAAGTGTCTCGAAATTATGACTTAGTATCAGAATCAGAATGGGTTTTATTACCAAGTAGTTTTACGAGGGATTTGCTTTGGTATTAGTGGTGCATACAGAGACACAGAAAGAAGAATAGGTAGCAAAATAAAAAATACCACGACTATAAAAGCTAATATTTACACAACATATAATTATTAGGGAATCTGAGTACAGTCAAATATGATGCAGTGTGACAATACTATAAGATCGTCTATTGGAAGATGTATCACTTTGTTTGGTTTCATGATAAAAAAATATATAGTATCCTACTTTTATATATTGAGTAAGCTGTAATGTGGCCCTTCAATAGAGTTTTATTTGTCAGATGGTTTACAGTTTACTTATCTTCACCGTCAACTTATATATATAGGTATATGTTTTACTTTTTTTAGTACTGTTTTATTTTCTATTTTGGGATGTTTCTATTTTATAATTGTTTATCTTCAACTCTTTTTAATTTCAAATGATGTGCAATGCCTTGTTTTACATGCTGCTGTAATGTAACATTTCCAAATGTGGGATCAATAAAGTATATATAAGGGACAATGTGCAGCGAGGCGGTCATTATGGGTAAAATAACACCCGACAGGCTGATCAGGAGCCCGACGCTTCGCCTCGCTACACATTATCCCTTTGGATAAAAGCGTCTGACAAGTAACATGTCATGTAATGTAATGTAATTATCTGACCAGTGTTGAAAGAAGTACTCAGATCTTGTTCTTGAGTACAAATAGTAAAAGTAAAAGTACCAGAGTGTAGGAATAATCTGTAATACTGTGAAAAGTATTAGCATCTAATTTCTAATTATATATATTTCAAAATACCAAACAGATCATGCATTTTAGCCATGCCTCATTTTGCTCAATTTGACAATTTCTAGCTCTGGGCTGATTCTGTGAGAACAGCACCATCTACAGGCCTGGCATATGTACTACAGCGTCTCCAGCGCTTTCGAACGGCAATGGCCGTGGCTGTCTCCTCCTGATTGGTGGAGTTGGCCCAATAGCCGTAGCGCCACCTGTCCTGACGTCAGGACAGTGTTCAAATCTGGATCAGTTTTTATCAGATCCGTTGCAGCCCCTTTTTTAGAGATTTGGGTATGGAGGAAAATAGAGAGGGTTGTGTTTTCTGACACTTGGTGAGTTCCCTGGAACACCGGGGACACATATTCATGTATACAAGACGTACAAAAGTGCATTTTGCATGATAGGTCCCCTTTAAAGTACCAAAAGTACTCATTCTGCAGATTGGTCTATTTCAGGTTATTAAATATGTTTTGATTATAATTATTGATGCATTAAAGTGTTATCAAAGCTCTCGAAATGGTGACTTCGTATCTCTCTCGTATAAATGTTTTTTAAAATGTATTTTTTTTTTTTTTTAAATATATATATTCAATAATGTACAGCACTTTAAAATGTACTACAGCAATACAGTTGAATTGGAATGGATATTTAAATGTTTTTACTTTAGAATATTTAAACTAGTACACAAATAATACACATGCACATTTCTCCTATAATAACAGTACTAGATAAAAGTCCATCATACACCGATGTTTTTTAAAAATATCTTTCCATTTTAGAATTGGAGGAAGTTAACATAACCCAATTTCAATTAAGTATTTATGATTGTTAATTCCTATATAATAATAAATAAATACTTTAGGAGCCGGCTTTCTAGACAATTCAGAAAGTGCTTGACCCAAAACTGTTAAGTTTCAAGAACAGTGTCGTCTAAAAATATCAGTATGTTATAGCAATAGTATTCAATGTATTAAGAACTACAGGGTATAAACCAAAAATAATACACTGAAATATGAGCACCCTTAACCTAGATTAAAAGTACTAGGTTTCAGTAAAAAAGCATTTGTGAGTGTGACACCACACAATGACTGTCTGCTAAATTACATGACATGTTACTTGTTAGACGCTTTTATCCAAAGCGACTTACTTACTCAATACTGTGGCCAATCCCCACAGGAGCAATTTGGGGTGAAGTGTCTCAGGGACACAACGACATGCTGACTGCAGTGGGGTTTGAACCTGTGCTCTCCTGATCCGAACACCAACGCACTAGTCCACTCCCCCACACGCCTCCCTGAATAATGAGGAAGACTTCAAACGAACACAACAAAATAGAAAGAGAAGCAATTGTTTTCTCATAATTATTTAATCACACATACATTTACATCATGCAATCAATCCAAAACTGTGATTTCATGAACTTCCCTCTCCGTTCTCCTCGGAGCGCTGCTATGTGTGCCCCAGTTCTCCAGGAATGATCCAGTACCTTGTCCACTGATAGATCCTCAAAACTGTCCTTTTAAAAATTGACCAACTATTACACAGTAATAAAAAAAGTGGCTACACTTTTGTTTTTATTTAGAATTAATGCAAAATCAAATTTAGGTAAAGACCTCAAATATTATTTGCTGTATTTCATTGACTATTTCCCTCTCTTCCCCCCCCCCCCCCCCCCCCCCCCCCCCCCCCATTTCATATCCAGTTTTGGTGGTAGGTCAAAGGATAAACATTTTGAGGTCCAAGCTGCAAAGTCACAACTAATCTAGAAGATTACACCGATGGAATAAACCATCTCGATAGACACAAACACTGTCCTGTCGTAGATACATGGAGCTGCTCCGCCCTGCAGCTTGTAGAAAGTCATTATTCTTATTTCAATTATTTGCCTTCAACAAACAATTCCATTTTACAGGGCGTTGGAAACGACTAATTCCTCCAGTCGAAAAACAGCCACACATGGAGTGTTTGCAGGTATTGTGAGGAAGTGCTATTAAACTAAACGCTTCCTGTTACAAGGTTTAGTATGACATCTTTTAGAGAGACGCAATCCTAGCTAGATCGGTTCCAGTAGCCGAAAAACTATTTGTAGAAGCAGTTTTCTTTACGGTGTATTTGTAAAAAGCTTCTGTTAATATTGTCATTTGAATATCTACCACTGCACGCGTCTTCATCTTAAATGGAGTTTACTGTCGAGTAAAGTAGTAGATATTCTTTCATCTTACAATATGTCCTAGGAAGACTCCTGTATCATGTTTCAGAGTGTTGAGAAATGGCAATGAGAGAAGCCCTCGATGAGAAAATACATTGAGAGCTAAAAGTTAGCGGAACAGAAGCTAACAAGAAAAAGGGGCAGTACTTTTTTTGTGTGACTCCATATGGCAGGGTTACCACTGCAAGCGAACACACCCACACGATATACAGTGTATCTTACAGTATATTGCACTTACACAAGATGTTAGTGTTCTCACGCTGGGGTTACAATCACAACAAGCTCTTAGCCGATGCAGTGGGGCTTCACAGGGTTACAAAAAGAAAAGGGAGCTGTGGTGGGAATTAAAAACACAACAAAAAGACAATAAAACATCCTACACACCCCCTGACTAGATTTAGTTAAATAAACCCCTCTTACAGGTGATGACAGAAGATTGTTGTGCAATTTTAGACCCTGCTCTCCTGACTGGCTGATCAGCGGCGAGGGTCCGACCCATCGACTCACACCCCTGCCCGCCTTTCAAATATGAATCTACACAACGTCTATGGAACAATGAAAGAGGTACAGTACATTAAACCCAGCAAAACACTTTTCTGCACATTTACAAACCAAAAGAGGGGAAGTTAAAGGGTCTAAATCGATAAGAATCAACAACAACAACAAAAGGGTGTGGAGGGGGAACAAAAAAAAAAAGCAATAAACAGAGGCGAGGCATCCTTGAAAAGAAATCATGATACAGGTACAACTAAAAGTCCTGGAGATGAGTGAGTGTGTGTGTGTGTGTGTGTGTGTGTGTGTGTGTATTAGGACAGGACCAGCGTTGTGTGTGCTATCTCAGTCTATTCGCTGCAGCCTATGTGCTCCAATGTGCAGAGAGATATAAATAGCGGCCAGCATTAGTAACCACCGATAGAAGTAAAAACAGTACATTTAGCTACTTAGCATAAGCTACGCTAAAAAAAAAAGGTGGAAGTTTTGTTGTGTCAACCGGATCATTCTCTTCCCTCTTACATTCTTTACATCCTTCTCATGAAGTCACCAATAACGAGTATAGGTTTCATTTTAACTTAATGATAAAAACAATTGGCCTCCACAGGTATTTCGTTAAATACATCTACAGTACACTGTTGCACGTCGTGGCTTTTTAAGTTGTTTTTTGAAATCCTTCTTTTGAGCCGTCCCCCTTGCCGTTGCCATACAGTTCTCACTCTCCACATTTGTACAAGACCGGACAGAACAGTAGTGCTCGACACCATCTAGTCAATTCAAAACCTTACAGTTTGGTTTTTTTAAAGTTAGTTTTTTCCTTAATGTCAAATCGAGAGAAAAGTGTGGTTAACAACCAATAACAGTAATGATGAAATGTACAGAGGATAGCCAATCGGGTCAAGCTATCTCTCGTGTTGGGGGTTATCTTTTTTTTGG